TTATTATAACAGCAAAGGGGGACTGAATCTCACATGTGGGTGCGATTCCAAGTTGGAATGTGTCTAAAGCACAAAGTCATGGTAGCTGCCACTATGAATGTGAGCAGACGGTCAGATTTACATGGTAAAGTTTGTACAGTTTAAGTTTGTACGAATTTTGTGCTTTGATGAGGAATGCATTTTCTTCAAAAATTATCAGAATAACCCAGAAATTTTTGTCTAAAAAATTGACATGTCAGTGCATAGATTTTTGATTTTGTGTTGTTTGGGTACGAAAATAAAAACAAACAAACAAACAAAAAGTTCTCACGCCATCCATTTTTTCTTGAACAAAACCACTTGAACACACACCACATCGGAACAATTCACTTATCTTGGTGTTAAAATTACTCCTGATATCAATAAATTTGTTTCCACTAATTATGACTCGCTGAAGGATACAGTGACAGAGATGTTGAGTCTGTGGTCTTTGTTACCCATATCAATGATTGGCTGCATAAATGTTATAAAAATGATGATACTGCCAAATTTTTTGTGTGTTTTTCAGTCTCTCCTGTTACCGTTAACAGACGCTTTTTTCTTTGTTTCCTACTTTTTATTTGCTTAATTTTATTTATTTATTTATTTATTCTGGTGTAACTGTATGTTTGTTACTGTTACCGTTTTTGATATTATAAAAGCAATAAAAAAATTCTCCCACCTGAGTTATTTTGGCCAGTGCACACAAATCATTGCTGTATCAAACAAAAATTAGAAACTTGGTCCATATACATCTTGACTACAACCTACGTAGGGCAAGAAGGAACCTGCCACCATCAGAGATTCAGATTCATCTTTACAAGCATTAGGAATCTGAAAGGCTTTGTAGGTTCTACCAAGATTTGGACTCAGATCACTGCAGTCAACGTCCAGAGCACAAACCATTACACCACGGAACCAAGCTGCTGTTTTCACCAGCCAATTACTACCATACACTTACCGACATCTGGCAAGCAGAAATTATCCCAGAGGTATCATACATACAGTTTTCGAGTTTGGTACATTCACGATCCAAAATGGCGAAAAAACAGGTTCCTTTGGATGAAAAACAGATCATCATCATTAACAGATCCTCTACCAGATGTAACAGTGGGGATTAGGCTTCTTTTTTGATGCCAAAAAGCTCTTTGGATGTTTAAGCTTGTTTCAATATTTGAGTTAGAACCAACTATGTTCACTGTGTATTTTTCTCTTTTTTCCAGTTTGAATTTGTATTTTTTTTTTTCCCAATGAGAGAGACAGAGATAAATGGTTTGCCAAGGTTGGAGTGGAAGAATTCCCATGGCCTGCAAACAACCCTGACCACAACCTCAAACCTCGTCACTGATATCTGGCAAGCTGTGATTATACCATAGGTCTGAGACTAAGATGTTGTAACCAAAACCCAGAAACCAAGTTGCAGAATTGGCTCCTATGCTTCTTGAACAGAATTTTCTCCATATTTGTCTTTACGAGAGTTTGTGACATGAAAGCTTACTTCAGTTGAAGTGCTTTGTCTACTTTAAAACTGAACCTTGAAAGAACGCACTGCAGGTTCCACTGAGATTTGAACTCTGATTCCTGGATTCAAAGTCCAGAGTGCGAACCATTACACCATGGAACCAAGCCGCTTGAGTTGCTTGGTTTTCAACAGCTGATAATTACCATATACTGACCGATTACCCAGCAAGCAGCAATTATCCCATAGGACGGTGACTAAGACGTTCTAATCAAAACAAGGCACCCAATGCCAAAACCCAGAATTGAACCAGGGACCTCTAGAGCTTGAGTCTAATGCACTCTCACCTGAGCTATTTTGGCTACGATGGGCTACATTGAGCAAGCATGAACCTTCCACCATGATTTCCACAGAGATTTGAACTAAACATTGCAGCATGGAAACAAGCTTTGCTGAATCCTGCCATATTGTCACCAAGGCAAGGCAGAATTATACCCCAGGTCACAGACTAGATGTTGTAATCAAAACCCAAGTGGCAGAATTGGCTCTGATTCCCCTTCAGCAAAGGAGGAGCAGGTTCCACCGAGATTTGGACTCAGATCGCTGGATTCAGAGTCCAGAGTGCTAACCATTACACCAAGGAATAATGCCACAGGCCTTCTAGAAAGCAATCATCACCTCATAGGTCAGAGACTAATACTTAGACTCATGGAACCCAATGCAAAAAAAAAAAAAAAAAAAGGGATCAAACCATGGAGCGTTAGACCTGAGCTATTTTGGCAGCTGTCTCAGAAAAAAGTTACTTTTTGATCCAAAAATTTGGAGACAAAAATGGGTCCATATTCATCTTTACAAATTAGTTTACAAGCTAACTGACGGCTTCAGCATCCACCCCCATCATCCACCTCTTTGAGCATTAACTTTGTATTTTTTCTCTTTTGTCCAGTTTGAATTTGTATTATTTGTTCCACAATGAGAGAGAGAGAGAGAGAGAGAGAGAGAGAGAGAGAGAGAGAGAGTGCAAAACAGTAGACTAATGCTAAGCTAACAGCTAGGCTAGACAAGCTGCAGGTAAAGTAGAACTAAAAGTTAGTGCTGCATTCACTTTAACTTGTAAGTAGGAAGTCTGAAGTCAGAATTACATGAACTTTCGAATTTGGTACATTCAATGTCCAAAATGGCAAAAAAAAACCAAAAAAAAAAAACATGGACGCCTCCATGAAAGTTTCTCTAAACTGGATTACAGGGCCAGTTGTATAGGAGGCTATATGGATGCAGGCATTCAATTTGATTATAATGTCCCTCTTCATGTATATTAAAAGTAAATTGCAAACACACATATATATTTGAACAGAATGAAGCAGTTCATTAAGAAATTCTTTACACTGTCATTGCTGCTGCTGCCTCTGTGGTAGCCATGATGGGTAATGTGAGAAAGATGTGTTTAGAAGATGTAAGACAAGACACTTCATACTAATCCTTGTTTTTGCATTCCTTATTAAAATCCTAATTTTGCAGTAGAAAGTGTTGTTACATTGCCCTGCTATTCCTATGTGTAATGTTTATGCTATGGTTTTACCACAGAAGCTCTGACTAGATCTCTTCTTCTGAGATATTGTCTGTACAGCCTGTGAATTTAAACTTTACTGTTGTAAGAAAAATTGAAGAGGCGTCAAAGATCTTGATGTAGAAGAGGTTTATTTACAGTACAGCAGTAACAAAGTACATGAAGCACCTTGGATCCACCGGAGTCGGAATGAATCCTATTCATCATTTACTCAAGCGTTTTATACTAGTTCACCATAATCTTCCCGCTTACAATGTAAATGAGGTTTCATCTTAATGTAAATTAAGAACAACACCCAAGGTGATACCCTTCCGTTGCCAATCCATTACTATTGTTCCAGGTGTGCTCTCCCCAAATGGTAGGGTGATAGGATTATCTAGAGTCAGAAAGACATCTGTCACAATTCTGTCGCAATCACAATTGAATTCTCTGGTTCTCAATGTCCCACTGACACTCCCATTCTACAACCGGTTTTGTCTGGACCAAAAGATGCAGCCCCAATATTCAGGTCAATGCGCTCCCACCTGAGCTATTTTGGCTACTACAGCCTACATTGAGCAAGCAGTGGAACCTAGGTGGAATCTAGTCTGTGACCTGGGGTATAATCCTGCCTTGCCAGATATCGGTGACAATATGGCAGTATTCAGCTGGTGAAAAGTCCATGGCTTAGTCTCTGACCTATGAGATAATCATCACTTGCCAGAAGACCTATGGCATTATTGCTGCTTTCCAGCGATTGGGCATTATATGGTAGTAATCAGCTGGTGAAAACCAAGCACTCAAAGAAGCTTGGTTCCATGGTTTAATGGTTAGCACTCTGGACTCTGAATCCAGTGATCTGAGTTCAAATCTCAGTAGAACCTGCTCCACTTTTGCTGAAGGGGAAATAGGAGCCAATTCTGCAACTCAGGTTTTGATTACAACATCTAGTCTGTGACCTGGGATATAATCCTGCCTTGCCAAATATCGGTGACAATATGGCAGTATTCAACTGGTGAAAATTAAAGATCCAGCGAAGCTTGTTTCCATGGTGTAAGGTTTAGTTCAAATCTCAGTGGGACCTGCAAAGCCTTTCAGATTCCAAACACTTGTGAAAATGAATATAGACCAAATTCTGCTGAAGATGAATATGGGCCAAGGCTGCATCTTTTGGTCCAGGCAAAACCGGTTGTAGAATGGGAGCGGTCATTGGGGCTGCATCTTTTGGTTCATCTTCAACAGAATTTGGTCTATATTCATTTTCACAAGTGTTTGGAATCTGAAATGCTTTGCAGGTTCCTGCAACTGTATACTGCCATATTGTCACCGATATCTGGCAAGGCAGGATTATACCACAGGTCAGAGACTAAGATGTTGTAATCAAAACCCAAGTTGCAGAATTGGCTCCTATTTCCCTTCAACAAAGGTGGAGCAGGTTCCACCAAGATTTGAACTCAGATCACAGGAATCAGAGTCACAATGTGTGTGTGTGAGAGAGAGAGAGAGAGAGAGAGAGAGAGAGAGAGAGAGAGAGAGAGAGAGAGAGTGCAAAACAGTAGGCTAATGCTAAGTTAACAGCTAGGCTAGACAAGCTGCAGGTAAAGTAGAACTAAAAGTTAGTGCTGCATTCACTTTAACTTGGAAGTAGGAAGTCTGAACTCAGAATTACATCAATTTTCGAGTTTGGTACATTCACGGTCCAAAATGGCGAAAAAACAGGTTCCTTTGGATGAAAAACAGATCATCATCATTAACAGATCCTCTACCAGATGTAACAGTGGGGATTAGGCTTCTTTTTTGATGCCAAAAATCTCTTTGGATGTTTAAGCTTGTTTCAATATTTGAGTTAGAACCAACTATGTTCACAGTGTATTTTTCTCTTTTTTCCAGTTGGAGTGGAAGAATTCCCATGGCCTGCAAACAACCCTGACCGCAACCTCAAACCTCGTCACTGATATCTGGCAAGCTGTGATTATACCATAGGTCTGAGACTAAGATGTTGTAACCAAAACCCAGAAACCAAGTTGCAGAATTGGCTCCTATACTTCTTGAACAGAATTTTCTCCATATTCGTCTTTATGAGAGTTTGTGACATGAAAGCTTACTTCAGTTGAAGTGCTTTGTCTACTTTAAAACTGAACCTTGAACAAAGGCACTGCAGGTTCCACTGAGAGTTGAACTCAGATTCCTGGATTCAAAGTCCAGAGTGCTAACCATTACACCATGGAACCAAGCCACTTCAGGAACTTGGTTTTCAACAGCTGATAATTACCATATACTGACCGATATCCAGCAAGCAGCAATTATCCCATAGGACGGTGACTAAGACGTTGTGATCAAAACAAGGCACCCAATGCCAAAACCCAGACTTGAACCAGGGCCCTCTAGAGCTTCAGGCTAATACACTCTCACCTGAGCTGTTTTGGCTACTACAGGCTACACTGAGCAAGCATGAACCTTCCACCATGATTTCCACAGCGATTGGAACTAAACATTACACCGTGGAAACAAGCTTCGCTGAATCTTTACTTTTCACCAGCTGAATACTGCCATATTGTCACCGATATCTGGCAAGGCAGGATTATACCCCAGGTCAGAGACTAGATGTTGTAATCAAAAACTGAGTTGCAGAACTGGCTCTTGTTCCCCTTCAACAAAGGTGGAGCAGGTTCCACTGAGATTTGAGCTCAGATTGCTGCATTCAGAGTCCAGAGTTCACCGGCTGAATACTGCCATATTAGGGCCTTTCGCACCGCTTTAGTTCCAGAACTAAATTTACAGTACTAAAGTACTGGGCGATTTTGCGCGAACTATTTCCCAGTACCGTTTAAAGGGTTGCATTCGCACCGACAGGGGGCACTAGGAAGTGACGTAAGCCGGTCGACAGCGACGTCATTTGTGTGTGGCGTTCAACAACGGAAACAAAGAAGAACAACGTAAAGAACCGGAGGATGGAGGACGCTGTGATCGGAGCTGTGTTTTTGTTGTGTCTCACGTCCATCTATCGCTGTTCTCCATACTTGAGAAATAAGTTGACACTACAGTATGTTTACACGGCGTTTTAAATCATGGTGGGTGAGGGCGTTTTCGTACGCGTTTGGCCAATCAACGTCTACTTACGTCATGGATAGTACCAGTTGTGCTGGTTAGACCCTGCTCCGGAGTAGGAGCTAATTTGGTTCTCAAAAAAGGCAGTCCGGTACTAAAATCGCACCCAGTTCCGGAGGTGCGAAAACGCCAAAAAGGGGGTAGTTCCACAATTAGTTCAGGTACTATGAAAAGGTTCCCGCGGTGCGAAAGGCCCTAGTGTCACCGATATCTGGCAAGGCAGGATTATACCCCAGGTCACAGACTAGATGTTGTAATCAAAATCCAAACGGCACCGATTCCCCTTCAACAAACGCGGAGCAGGTTCCACCGAGATTTGAACTCGGATTGCTGGATTCAGAGTCCAGAGTGCTAACCATTACACCATGGAACCAAGCTACATTGAGGACTGGGTTTTCAACAACTGATAACTACCATATACTGACCAATCTCTGGAAAGCAGCAATTATCCCATAGGTCAGTGACTAAGACATTGTACTCAAAACAAAGTATCGAGCCAGGGACCTTTAGAGCTTCAGGCGACACATGAGCCATTTCAGCAGCACCTGGAAAGATATAAAAAGATATTTCGTTTTCTTCCTACAATAGAAAAGAACCTTGAGTAAAGACTTTGGAGCTTTTACTGATATTTAATCAATATTCAGGTCAATGCGCTCCCACCTGAGCTATTTTGGCTACTACAGCCTACATCGAGCAAGCACAAACCTT